CCCCAACCGATGCGAAGCCAAGAAAGAAAACCCAACAGGACGATCCTGATCAGGAGGAGAAGCCAGCAAGGAAACCAACAGCAGGCAAAACCAAGACAGACAAGGGGAAGCAGGATCAAGCCACGGGTGGTAAGAAGGGCCCAAAGAAAGGCAAAGGGGTTGAGCCAGAGGAGCCTGATGAGCAAGTTGAGGAGTTCTACGACAGCGAGCTGGGCATCATGGTGAGCTGGAAGAATTACCCCAATGTCCTTAAGGCAGTGTTGAAGGCCCACCCTCACGAGACCGAAGCAGGTGTCAAGTTGGGCCTGACAGAAACGCTGGGCCCATGTCCCTTCGAAGAGTGTGGCAGCGAGGCTCACCCAGGCCCCGTCCTACAGGATCCCACCCTAGAGGAGCCGGAGGAGGAAGATGATGAGGACATCGATGGCCAGTCGCTCGAGGAAGAGCAAGAGGAGAAGGATACAAAGGAGCAGGAGGCAGAGGAGAAGGTAGAGGAGCAGGAAGGGGAGCAGGATGCAGAGGAGGAGGTAGAGGATGATGAGAAGGCAACCGATATCCTTCCTGGTAAGGCCTCATCGAGCAAGCAGAAACCACCCGAGCAGGTTGTCATCAGTCTGCATTAAGTATTTTGTAGGCTGCAATTTTCTGAGTTTTTCTACTTCTATAATGAACTACCCTATATGAAACTATTATCTAGCTGAGGTCACTCCGTGCAGGAACCTGAACAAGAGCTTTGAAGCAGAATCCGACCGCCCAGAGTCTTTCAAGCTTTCACGCATGGATTCCTTGAAGCTGCCTGACCTGTATATGTTGAATCATGTTCTACATGGTGTGTGCGAGGTCGTACAGTATGTGTGTGTATACATATATATTCTTAAGGATCGCCCAGGTCTTGCAGGACCCTTCTTCAAGGTTGCAAGCTTACCGACAAGATGGCCGATGCTGGTCGACATGCTACTCCCGAGCCAAAACCCAAGCCCGATGACGTGATGGATTTGTTTGAGGGGCTGCTTGCTAGCACATATTCCCGGAGTGTTGCATATGCTCTTAACACAAATCAATTCACAGTTTCGATTCTTGCTGCACACATAAGGACGGACGAGTCGGCTTCACAGGTGCTTGTGGAATCGGCCCCGGCCGAGGAGATGCAAGTCTTGCTTAAGGGGCTCATTGAAGAAAACCGCGCTCTGCAAAAGCAGTTGAACTCCAAAGGCTCCAGTGCTGCTGCAGACCCGCCAAAACCCAAGGTCGCCGACCCCGCCACGACCCGAGCTGCTGAGAACAGTGACCCAGACGGAGATGAAGAACATGATGATAATGATGACGAGCATGAAGATGATGAGGAGGCTGAGGAAAGCGATGATGCAGATGATCAGCCGTCATCGACGGTGACCCCGCCGCCCAAGCCCAGCATCGAGAAGCCCACCCCGCCAGCCCCGGAGCAAGAGTACAAGAATGCAAACTCATCTTCCCACAGGGCCGAGTGGATGTCTTTCTCGAGAAGAATGGAGTCCCCAGACGCAGCCACCAAGTTTCCCGAAATCATGGGCCTTTGGGGTTCCAGCAGAGAGGTCCCCTGATTGCAATGTTCATCCCGGTTTGCATATATGTGTTCGATACACACATACGTATGTGCACGTATACACACGTACATGGAGAAAATCCTGGCGATCTAAGGACAAGCTCTCGGTGTTTCGGGAGTGGCTAGCCAAGGGCAAGAACTACCAGGATACTGAGTGCCACATGACATTTCTTCGAGAGAAGAAACTCAAAGGAAAAAAAGAGTGGGAATGCTTGACCATCTTGGAGATGGTCAAGCGAAATTTCAGTACGCAGGGTGCCTAGCAATCATGCCATGCTAGACTCTGTAATATGTGGGTGCCGGCTTGATTGTTGTGCTGATGACTATAGTTCAAATAAGGACCAAGATCGAGGCTGCTGTCAGGAAGCCCGGAAATGGTGTGCCCGATGAAGATTGCCCTGAAGACCCTGAAAGCACCCGCTATTGGACGAAGACTCGCATGCTGCAGACCGAGACTGACCTGACCAAGCAGAGCCTGCAGAGCAAGACCAATTTCCAAGCCACCCCCGAGCTGGCTGCTGCTCTGCTTGCGAACCAAGGTTTTGGATCCGTGTCCAAGGAGGCAAGTTCTCAGGTCAACAAGGGCAGAGATGAATCCCTCCAGCTCATGAAAGACTTGAAAGCTGCGAACTCCTGCAACGGTCACTCGATCTCGAACATATAGCCTGTACTAAATATATCTCACGATCCGTTGTGTTCATGTTCGTGCTCCGTATGTCGGCATGATGCAGCTAAGGCAGTACAGTTGGCTCGACCGCAAGTCGGGGAACGCCTAAAGGAAAGGCTAAAGCCAAGGCTAGGCTGGTTGCCGCCAAAACCTCGAAGGAGCTGGCCGAGGATGCCCGCTCTCTATCTGAATAAATTCTTAAAGGTGCTATGTTATCACTCGAAATGATCCCCACATATAAGACAAACCCCGATACACCAATCCGAGGCAAAGAGATCAAGAAGGAGCTGCAGGCTGGAAATGTGGCCCTAGACCTCCCCAAGGGTCACGATCTACGTGAGAAGATGGCTGTGCACGAGAAAGTGCTCAAAGAACAGCTCGAGCGGTTTTGTGCTTAGCATTCTGTTACACTCGGCCTATAATGCGTGTGTGTGTGTGTGTGTGCATATGTCACATCTGAAGATAAGAGCCCTATACCCAGGATTAAGGAGTTCGATGACCTCGACGAGGACGATCAGCAGGAGTTGCTGAAAGAAGCCGAGAACGAGGCTATACCCAATTCATATGTGTAGTATAGCATCCCCTACCTCTGAGCGCAAAGCCCCGAAACTATGAAGCGCATTTACCACCCTCAAACCCTGCCCGAAAGGTCGAGGAAGCCAAGCTCACCCGTGTACAAGCACGAGCCGTGGCTGCCGAGATCAAGAAGTCGCAGGGCTGATCGGGCCTGAGAAGCCGATGTAGGGTTCCCGTCCAGGATCGACAGGGTATAGGAAGAATCTAGGTAGAGTTAGACGACTGAAGCCCTTGGGACCTTCTGGTTGGTATGCTAAATGAAAGTACGCATGCTTTGAATTCCACAGATCCTGACAATCTAGCATAGATGCGGCTTATATAGAGTGGCTTACATATCGAGGTGTTCTGGTTCAACGGGCTATAGAAGCTTAAGCTCGAGGGTTTTAGGTGCATGTGAGCTAGGTACTGAGAAAAATATCCGAGGACCCTTACATCTTAAGGCTAAAGATGATGTACCCCGGTAGGCCTATCACACGGAGGCCTTTATTCCTGAAGCCGAGTTTCAATGGCACCCCCCCCTCATTCTTCCGACTCCAAATTTACGATCGGCTTTAAATAATAGGTAACAAAGAACTCAAAACTCTAGATCCATATCTAACCAAATAAAGACCTGAATAAAGAAGGCTTATATACATATATATATATATACATTTGGTTAGTTATTATGTGAATATATGTACATTAGACAATAGTGAAAACCCGAAGTATCAAAGCTATGATATCGAAAACCCTATATATATATATATATATATCGAGCCTCCTATACGCTTTATCCTAAACCCGAAACCCTAAAGCACTACAATTGTCTTTCGACCTGGATGGTTTTGATGGGGAAGGATACTTCCATGGATGTGATTGCACTGTTCAGCAATGCATCCGAGTAGGATACATGCAGACAGCCTTACCGTGCCGGCAAGACATGCTGTGCTCTAGAGGTGGGGATAGGTCTGTATGTGCTACCTGGTACCCTCTGTGCGAAAAGCTCTGCAAGTGATTGCATTATTGGACGGTCTCGCTACCCTACATATTGTGCAATCGGTACATGAAACGGTCCTACGCAGGTGGTGCTGATGCTGAATTTCATCGTCTCCGAAGGGAGCTTGACAATGCGTGTCTCGTCTACAGGATTTGCCACAGCGCTTTTTATCAGTGCCCCCCCAATTCATCATGAACGATCCTAAGGGTCGCCGAGAGCATCGGCCGTGGGTACACGTCCATCAGGCACGCCGGGAATATTGGTGACATCTATGATTCTGACCTGCTACGGATGCTTGCCCCGGCAGCTTTTGTATGGGCTATAAACTGTGTAAAGCCTTAATTAGGTTTGGAGCCCTAAAATTATTCGAATAGACGCAGAATCAGTGAAATATATACCGAGGAACTTGAAGGAGACTGGTGTTCACAACCGTGCCCAAGCCCTGGACATCTCCCTACCCGCCAAAATTTCCCTCGTCAAATTACCTCTGGTGGTTTCGGCTGATGATCAAAATGTGGTTTGGGAAGATTGGCCTTTCATATTGCCGTACGATATGGAGCCTCATACACGTTAATTCAATGAGCTTTACAGTTTTGCTCTATACGCAATCGATCTAAGCACCCGGATTCCTCACGTAACCAGCTTAAGCCCCGCCGAGTTGGAAGCCGTCGTGGCTGATGGACACATTGGAAGCTTGGTCGGCGACCTGGGCGAACTCCCGCTCTTCTGGTCACACTTTCTGAGAGATCATCCGGATCACCCTGTAGGTGACGATGCAAGCTTACGCAGTTCATCATTTGGGTGTACACTATACTGACGCTCGCCGATTGTGCATATGCTTTCATAATTGCTGCCAATTGTATTGTTGGTTTTCCGAATTTAATAGGTATTCTTTAAAAGCTTTCCTTATACTCCAATGTAACTACATTGAGGTGATGAAGCATGGGCCATCAATTCGTGCTGGATGTTTCTCATGTTCACATCAGAGCTGTCACCATATTTGACGGATGCTGCTGCATCCCGCATGATTATGGCTATCATACCAGCAGAACGCTACGTGATTCATCCAGACAGTGGTGTCAATCTGACAATTCAAGCAGCCTGTCAAGCCATTACTTGCAGTTTCAACAAACTTTCTCAATTCGGTGTACCCCTGCAAGATCCCAGTAGCAAAGCCGAGGTCCCATGGCAAACTTCTAGAAAATTGTTCTCTTTGATTGAACCTTCAAACAAATTCCTCGAACTTCTAACATGAACCCTTAATTGCACGGCCCACTCGATCCGATCCCAGGTGATCAGACTACGTGCTTTCATCACCGCATTCCGTGGCGACTGGAAAGCGCTATATCAAGTTTTCTGTTTCAACCGATATGCCGACCGCGACGAGGTATGGCCGGAGGGTTGTTCTTGTCTGGTCTGGTGTAATTTGGCTTTCTATTAATTTAGGGATTTTATAGTGTAGGCTTATGTACGTTATATATGGGGACGGGACAATTTTTAAGCCACAGATTAACATTTGGATCCTGAGAACCCTTGCCTCTGAAATTTATCATGCCCCTGAACCCTAAACCCTGAACCCCTTCGTGGCAACTATTGGGTTTATATAGTCTCATTAAGCCTTTAAGCGGAGTCTAGGGTATAAAGGTTGTGATAAAATTGTTTCAAATTAGGAAATGATCCCTGCAGATATGCTGGATGTGCCGAGCTGTTAAGGGATTGGATGCTACAACACGTCATCTGGCGTTTACAAATATCAACGATGACGCGCCCTACTGGGCGACAATGTTCGACAGTCGGCCATGGGCCTACGAACCTGCTTACACTGGATTGCCAGGCTTCAAGATCCAATATATTCAGCCGGATTTGCTACATTGCTGGCACCTTGGCACAGGCCGAGACCTGGCGGCCTCAATTATCGTGTACATCGTACGACACAAGCACGATTGTCCTGCTGTGCTGGCTGGAACTAATCTTAAGGACCGATTGGTAGACGCCACTGCCAAACTGAAGGCCTACGCCAAATCGCACAAGTTACCTTTGAAGCTGCACAAACTGACCAAAGCCAAGCTGGGTATGAAATCCAGAACGTCTTATCCAGAGCTCAGGAGCTCTGGGTACGACACGTATGTGGTTTTGGAGTGGCTGCAAGACCTGTGCTCTCGCCACAGTTCCGTGCTGCCTGCAGACCTGTGCACGTGCATCTGGTGCGCCTGCCACATCATGAGCATGCTGCATAATGCAGATCGTTATCTCACCATCGATGAGGAGAGAAACAAGCAATATTTTGGGCAACTTTTTTTGAGAAGCTACGTTTCCCTTGCAGCGCACTTCCTGGAACACCAAGAGCCGTTGTTCAGACTCCGTCCAAAACTCCACCTGCTATGTCACGTTTTCAGAAGCTCGAGGCCAAGCCGAACAAATCCAAAGCAGTACAGTACTTGGATTGACGAGGATGGGCTTAAACGCCTAATGAAGATCCTTAAAATGACCGATGCACGCACAGCACCTCAAAGGCTGCTGGAGCGCTACTTGTTGGGAGTGAAAGGTGCGTGGAAGGAAAAGCTGAGCATCCAGCGAGAAGGCTCGCCGAAGCCCGAAGATCCAGCTTTAGGGTTTGTAGGAATTTAGGGTTTTTAGGGGCTTTAGGGTCTTTAGGGCTTCAGGGTTCTAGGCTTTGGGGTTTTTACGATCAGGGTGTTCAGGGTTTAGGGCTTTGAGGTTTGTGGAGCTTTGAAGCTTCCGAGCTTTAGGATTTGGATTTTGTGGGGTTTAGGGCTGCTAGGGTTAAGGTCGGGAATCCCGAGAAGCCTGAATCCCCAAGCGCAAGGCTTCCAACTTAAGTAGGGTCTAGGGCTTTAGGGTTTTAGGGTTGAGGGTTTTAGGGGTTTTAGGG